TGTCCCCTGACTGCACAGCCAAGCCGAAAGCGCAGAGGAGACATGCAGCGCACTTCACCTATCACCCCGACCCTGTGCCTACTCAGTACGGTAAATGCTCTTGTTTACATTTTACAGTGGAGCTGGAGTACTGAAGAGACCGTGAGATATTCATATGATTCATCTATAAAGCTCTCATTCTTTAATACTATTCATACTACGTAAGCCTGGCTTTGCTGTGGTGTTTTGCAAGCAAACATAAAGCTAAAAACACATCGGCTGACATGACATCTGTCAGTCTTGTTTATAGTTGCTTGAAGACTTGCTCTCAGATACACTGAGACTGAATTTTGTAGTTATGAACATATGAATAATGCAGTGCTCGATAGCCGCACACTGTTGTTGTATGAACTTGTGTTAGGAATCATTCAAATCTCTTTGAATTCAGACTAAATGACAAACTCACACAGAAGGGTGATGCCAGGTGAAATGGTCCAGATAAATATATGACAACAAAATTAATATCATAAATGTCATTTTAAACAGTGACCACAAAAGTACTTGACAGTGTATGAGGTGATTTGGTTAGTTTGCTAAGCTCATCATTTCATAGAGGCTGGATGGGAAAAAAAATATATATAAAAATAAGGTTTATATATTCATAACTATTGAACGTCTAAGTAAGGTATCACGAATGGCCTGTATAATAAAAGCTGATGAAAATGAATAACTTAAATAAAAATAACCTGTTTTATGAAAAGTGTGTTTAATTGCCTTAAAAGTTATTCAGAAATCCTTATAGTTAAAAAAAAAACTTTTTTTAATAAAGGAAACTATCAAAAAATATCTAAAATGTCATTTATCTGCCTCCATCAGCTACAGTAAATTTTATTTTATGAACTTTTTTTTAAGACATTTTAATAATTCCCAGCTACAATACACAATTAAAAAAAAAAATATAATCTAATTCAAAATATCAACAAAAGCTATAAAAGTACATCAGTGACAGTAAAATAACAGTGCTTTTAATCACTGTGTTCATCAAATGTCTGGTTGAGTGCACTGCATTGTGTGTCTGTCTAGATGGTAATTATTTGCTTTTATGTTAATTGGTCATATTAAGAGGTGTTCACATTTGCAACTAAATGTTAAAGCTGCATAAATCAGCATAAACTTAACCTACATTGAGGTCAGATCTTCATTTAAGTCCTGTATCTAAATAAAGGAACTAAATTAAACGAATAACACAAAACTTGTCTTTTTTATGCCTATTTGTTAAGCAGAATCATCCAAGGGTGAAGGTCTGCTGGAAAAAGCATGTGACTCATATTTTGTGAGTAAGTTGAATTATTGAGCACAAATAAGTGTAGATCAGTCCAGAACATTGGCTTTGTTTGACCCAGTCTTCCTTAGACAAGATTCAGCTCAGTGGTGCTTTCTTCAGGCGTTTCTACAACTTTTCTATTTGGTTTGACTTTGACTTAGCCATTAATCATTACTTTTCTTCTGCTTTAACCATTCACTCGTATGTTCAGAGTCTTGCTGCAGGACTCAGTTAAAGATTTATTATTATGATTTTTTTATTATGATTTTTTTTTTTTGATAGAGATTAAGACTTTTATTCAGCAAGGATGCATTAAATTGATCTACAGTACCAGTACAGACATTTATAATGCTATGAATGATTTCTATTTCAAATAAATGCTGTTCTTTTGAACTTTCTATTCATCTGTGAATCCTGAAAAATAAAATATATCACGGTTTCCACAAAAATATGAAGCAGCACAACTGTTTTCAACACTGATAATAATCAGAAATGTTTATTGAACAGCAAATCTGAAAATTCAGCTTTGATCACAGAAATAAATGACAAATTAATTGAAAAATACGTTTAAAAAATGTAAAAAAAAAAATGTTTTCAAATGTTCAGATAGAAAAGTTATTTTAAACTGTAATAATATTTCAAAATATTGCTGTATTTTTGGTCAAATAAATGCAGTCTTTCAAAAATGTAAAAAAAAATAATAATAAAATAAATAAAAATTGGCAAACAAAACACCTTTTGAACATAGTGTAAATTCAAAATGACATTAGTTGTACTTGAAGGATGTGCAACTCTCAAAAGATGCATCATTAAAAAAAAAAAAAAACAAACAAACAAAAAAAGAAACATTGTTAATGATTACATTCTTGTTTGGCTTTATCACTGTATTCATCAAAGCACATCTGATACATTGTGTTGCCTGTATATCCTACTTAAATATTAAGTTGTTGTCTTGAATCTTGAATCCTGTCAGTTTGGATGCTTTATCGGACAATTCATCTGTCTTGTTTAATATAGAAACAACATTGAAATGGGTAATTTTCGCTGTTGTAACTAGCACCTTTTCTAATCTGGTGTGATATGCATTTAACATTTTGATTATTTGTGTTTTCCGCTAAACATTCATGAATAAAATGCTCTGTTAATGCTCCTCTAAACCAAATGTAAAATGTGCTTTCTTTCAGTACGTTTGTGCATTTGCGCTCTTTGCCATTTATTTCGTTGCACTTCATCAATTATGCAAGAATAAATGAAGTAGATTCAGATTGAACAGAACACCCTCTACAGGTTTCGCAAGCCATAAATAGTTAAATTATGCTGCCGTGGAGAGGCAGGAAAGAGGAGGAAAACAGACATTATGGTAATGATAAAAAAACAAAAAACATCTGCTGTTGCCGCTCGTTTTGGACAGAAGCGCTATATATAGAGGCACTCTGTGATGTTTTGAAATAAACACAGATCCACGACTCCAACATGACTCCCGCCGCGTGGGTGCCTTTTGTTTGTTATTGACGTCAGAGGTGTTGACCTTTGAGAGGATCATTATTTTCCGTGCCGTCTCGTTAGACGGGAACGGGGTACTCGTGCCACTCATTTGAGAGAGTCTCTGCCCTCTTTGCGGCCAGTAAACACTGTATTATCTCTGAAATGCCCATCAGCAGCCCATTGCATGCATGCCTTATTCAACAAAGACGCTTTTTCATTTCAAAGACAGTGAATGATTTCTGAATCGACTGAAACTTTTTGAAATAACCAGCAAATTCCTCTTCTTTTGCATTATTTCCTAAGGTGTCGTTTCAGGTTTAAAATGAGAAAAGCTTGATGGACTGCGTCGATTACCACCACACAGAATCATTTTGACTCGTTTCTAAGTTTGTAGAAGTTGAAATGCATCGAAATACTGAAGTCGTTTGCCACGTCACAAATTCTGACGGCAACATGATGTAGATTATAAACCTGGAAGACGAAAACATTGTTTTCTCCTACAGTTAGAATTAACGGATGCCAACATTGTCTTCTATGATGTGCGACACAAAATCTCAGATAAAGTAGTTTGGTGTTTCATGACTCTTTAAGATAATACCTTGACAGTTTGTGTGATAATTTGACATCTAGCCACAAAAATGAGCGAGCGCCTTTCAGAATAAACACACACAAAGCGAACATGAGCGTTTGAAAGCAGATGTCTGTCAGTAAGTGGGTTTTTGTGTATTACATTTATACTGCATTTCAAATGGCAGAAGTTCTCTTCATCGAGCATTTGGAAGGAAAAATACTGAAATACCAGTGTCAAGCAAAGCGTACCTTTCTCACAGTGCAAAGAAACCCACTATTGCTCTTGTATTTCTCTTCAACCTTAAAACCTTTTGCCAGTTTATATTCTTATTCAGTGTTGCGTGTGCATGTGTTTGTGTGTAATTGGCAGCAAGCAGAAAACGGCTGTTTCTAGTGCACACAAGTGCCATTGCACCTCTGAAGAAAAACCAAGATCAGAATGGATCTCGCTAGAGAGAGAATTGCAATGAATCTGAGAATCTTTTTTTTCTCTCCAAGTCATTCTGTATTTGTGTTCTCAAGTTCAAGATGGCAGTCCAACAGTGAGTCTAATCACCATACATGCTAAAGTTTATGAATTTAAGTTTAGGTGACCGTGAAAACAAACCATACAATCTATATGATTGTTTTTATATGAAGCATAGACTTTATTCAAGCCAACAAGAGACACGTCTTCCAGTCTGGGTCATTATGTACATTAAAGGAAAACCATGCGAGAGGCGCAGCACTTCTCATCCAGTACAAGACACCTTCTAGATGAGTGTGAAACTGCCAGAACTTGGACTAAGATTAATCACAAAGTCCATTAACTCACTGTGAAAATGTTACACTATGCTATTAAAGACTCACATGTTTATCCTACGACAAATGAAATAGTCTCGCGTTTTTAAACTCTGCGAGATGTTGAGGCTCCAGGAGCAGGATTGGACACCCCTGTCTCAAAAGAACCATTTGTTTCTTATTGCGAAGAACATTTTAAGTTGTTTTCCAATGTAAACAACCTTTTGTGGAATTGAATGTTAAAGGTTCTTCATGGAACCATCAATGGCAATATACCTTTATTTTTTTTAAGAGTGAAGGATCCTCGAAATTTGTCTCGGAAGGCCAAATCGTACAGTGTGCATTGAATCACTTTGCCACTTTGACATTGTAGCTTTATTACCGTGAAACCCCATTTTTGCTTGTTTTCGTAAACTGAGAGAGGAGTCAGTGATTTTGTGGTAATCAGCAGCATGTGTCCGTAGACATGAACTGAACCCAGAACAGTCCGTTAACGGCTTTCACTCTGTGTTGTGTAGAAACGGTTTCATGCATGATTTCATCACGTCTTCAATTATTTTCCATGTGTTAGTGACGCGTCGGTGGAAGAGCCGTGCATGTGCTCTGGTATGAATAAAAATAACTTTCTACTCTGAATATAGGGACTATTTCATGTGGTTCTTTACTGCATTAAAGGCGAGGCGGACAGCAGGCTTTGTATTTGTGTTTCCCTGATGTTGTGTGTGTTTATCCTGATTTGTTTTGTAATATAATTCAATCATGAATTTGCAGCAGATTTTATGGTTTGAGGTTAATACTTCCTGCTTTATACTACATAACATAAAAACCATCTATATATTAAACGCACACGGTCTGTTGAAGCATCCTAGCAGTCATCACGGCCCATGTTTGCGTTTGTTCCTGACATCTTGTCACAGGGCTGCACGATTATGACAAAAATCATACTTATCGATTATTCCCTTGAAATTGTAATTGCGATTATTAATTACGATTATCACAATTTACAGTGAATGATTTTTATACCATTGTTTGATGCAACTGCATGCCGTATTTTTATATGAAAATAAACAAGTTGAAAACCCTCTAACTGAAAAACTTTTAGTGCTTTTCTATAGTATTAAGCCTCAAATGTCAAATATACATCGGATTGGTTTCTTCTTTAAATTATAAAAAAAGTAAAAATATGAATGGTATTATAATGTTATACTAAAATTAAAATAATGGGGAAAAACTCTTAAGATAACATGTAGAAAGAAAAAAACGCATCTTAAGCATGCAGAATAACATAAGTGGACTTTGAACGATTAATTGCCGCTTTGAACGATTACGTAATTGTGGCATCCGTAATTGTAATCGCGATTAGAAATTCGATTAATTGTGCAGCCCTATTGTCTCACATGCCCTTGCTTCGGATGAACATATCAGAGTTTGTACCTGTTGTGAAGATGCTGATTAAAATCCCGCTCATTTAGACTGATTTGAGTGTGGAGTAGGTTGACATTTAGCGGTTTTGTCCTCAGGTAAGGACCGTGTGTTTAACACCCCGCTGTGTGAGCAAGGCATCGTGGGTTTTGGGATCGGCGCAGCTGCTGCAGGAGCCACTGCTATTGCAGAGATTCAGTTTGCCGACTACATTTACCCAGCATTTGATCAGGTGAGCTTGTCTTCAGGGGTCTTTTCTTTATAAACATCACCATGGACATTTTTTATAACATACACTGTAGAAAAAATCCGTAAAATTTACGGTAGAAAACCGGCAGCTGTGGTTGCCGGAATTTTACCGTAAAAAATACGGTAGCAACATTTTAGGTTTTACGGTTTTAACTTAAATTTACAGTTAAATACCGTAATTTCATTAACTGATAAAATTTTATTATATACCAACCTATTGAAGTACTAAAATCTGTTTTGTACCTTTGTAATACACTGATAACCACCAAAAGCAGGTGGTGATGAGAAAGTCACATGATGAAACAAAGCCCATCACAAGCAGCTTTTAAATAATAACATATATAGAAGGTGCACAGTGTCATTCACACAAACACCAAACACCATCATGGTAACACACATGAAACTGAAATAATGCAATAAACATTAACTGAACAACATTAGGTGTAACGCACAACGCTAATATACAAAACTGATAAGAAAAAACTAAAAAGAAACATAGTTATTTCAACAAAAAAACATCAAATTTGAAATGTAACGCAGGGAATTCTGGGAATGTCAATTTACGGTTATTCACTGTAAATTATACGGTATTTTCCACTTCCAAAAACGGTATACTACCGTAAAATTAATGTCCAATACATGTAATGTCCAATACAGTTTTTCACCGTATATAGTAGGGGAATTTACCGTTAACCCTTTAACAGGATTTTACTGTAGCATTTTTACAGTCTTTTACCGTTAAATTAACGGTCATTTTTTACAGTGTAGGTTTACCCTTAGCTGTTAGATTTTTAGTGTTAGTTCACCCAGAAATAAAGAAAATCATCACTTACTTGTTCCAAACATGTATTTTCCAACCCATAATATTTTCAAGATTTTTTTGATGAAACTTGAGAGATTCCTGTTCCTCTATTCTGTCTATTACATCTAAACTTTGACGCAAAGTTCATGAAGGCATTGTAAAAGTAATCCATATCAAGAGGTTTAATCCAAATCTCCTAAAGAGACACAATCTTGCTTGATTTATCTTATGTTTTCTTAGTTTCTCTGCTGTTAAGGAATAATAGGGTCATTTTGTGTCAACTCAATCGAGGTCCCCGGCTCAAATTTTTGATTTTGATCATATTTTCTCTGAAGAAAGATAAGCATGTATAGTGATGGAAGCCAAAATATTAAATGACATGGATGAATATTTACTGTGTATTGCACTATTTTGTAGAGGGGAGTCAAAATAGCAATTTTCACCGTGAGATTATTTTAAGCATTAGTCGACTAATCGAATGTTTATTAATAAACCATTTAAATCATTATAATGAGCCTTTAATTGCCTACAAAGCCTAATAAGTGCTCAAGCGCATGCATAAAGCTTGCTACAGCGCACCGGCAGAAGTAATAATTATGAATGTGTCAGTGAAAAACTGTAAGGAGGCTGCATTAACATATTAATAATTCATTTATAAACTAGTGCTTTCTTTGTTTTCGGTTTAAGAGATGAAGTCGGCGACACTGACTCTCGCCTGTATGCATGTTTCATACGGATTACATAATCTGAGAATATTTGTTTTCCATTTGAATTGGTTTATTTGAAAGTAGACATTTCACTCTCAATAGATACTTTTTAATGTCTGTAAGGCAAAGATATAGGCCTACACGGAGTTTCGCGCTCAAGTTCACAGAGACCGAGACGGCAGAAAGCGCATCCTGTTTGCTTTCATTATTTTACAAAAGCACAATGTTTTGTTGTTATTGTGAGTGCAGACAAATAAACGTAGAGTCTTCACAGATTCGAAAGATGTATTACTCTTATCTGTATGACCAGAAATGAGGGAGTATTTTAAGAGCAAGTGAGCACACCGGCACCTCCATCTGTCCAGTTGATAAGCCATATTTGAGGCTGATGAATGATAGGCGAGCGTTTGGATGTCCTGCGCAAGTACTGTATTACCACAAAGACCAGCCGTTAACGATCTGTCCATCTCGGACTGCATGACTTCACCTGTGGATTATTTTTTTTATTTTTTATTTTTTTTCTGCGACTAATAACATTTTGGTCAACCAAGCCTCTTCTGGTCAACTAATGGTTAGTCGACTATTAGGGGCCAGCCCTAAACCAATATTTAAAAAATTTAATTACTGTTAATTAACTAAATGAATAATATAATGCCTTTTGAAGTGGTTGTTAATTTGGCTATTGAAACAAATATAACCCAGCGACTTAAGACTGCTTTTGTGCTCCAGGGTCACATATTTTAGTAATATGCATGCTAATATGCAACTAGTTAATAGTCAGTGAACACACTAAAGTGTTATCAAATTAGAAAAGATATTTTGATGACAGAATGAAGCCTGTTTTTTGGACGATTGAGGTGTTTTGCATTATTTGACTTTTGTTTGTATTCTTCCTCTTAACATTCTCTTTATATGATTTTAGACATTGAACATTTATATTTTTAATGAAGGGAAGTCCTAAACCAAACCACTGAAATTCTTGCATTCAGTCAGTAGATGGCAAATGGTGTTACGTTATAATTGAGTAGAGGGCACACACAGCGGAATATACAGTGCTGCTTGAAAGTTTGTGGACCCTTTAGAATTTTCTATATTTCTGCGTAAATATGACCCAAAACATAATCGGATTTAATAATCAGAAGTCCTGAAAGTAGACAAAGAGAACCCAGTCAATGACAATTATGTCATCATTTACTCACCCTCATGGTCCAAAAGGTATATGTAATAAATTTGATCAAACAAAATATTTCTTGCTGAAGCTACTTTTTGTAATGTCTGTTTGATGCTTTACACAACAATGACTTTAAATTATCTTTTGGGAGTAATTTCTCAGCCAGATTTGATGTGCGAGTAATTAGATTAATTAATCGCCAAATCATGTAATTAATTAGATTAAAAATTGTAATCGCTTACCAGCCCTAATTTGTTCACAATCTGTCTGACTGTGGATTTGTAGAGTCCAAACACTTTAGAGATGGTTTTCTAACCTTTTCCAGCCTGATGAGTAGGGCTGTGTATCACCAGCAAAGTCACGATACGATACGTATCACGATACAGAGGCCACGATACGATACATATCACGATATGGGACTGCACTGAATTTCACCTCAAGAATTTGGTAAAACAGCAGTTTATTAAACACTGCATACTATAGTGCCATTTCTAACTATTGGCAGAGCAGGCAGTTGACCTCTGCATTATGAAGGGCCTCCATAACTGTACCACAGTACAATATAGGTAATGGCATATGTTTCATGTTTTGGGCAATACCCACCAGGTACAATATTCTGATTGTTTGCATCTTGTTTTTAAGCCAATAAATAATAATGTACTCGTTCTAATAAATGTATATTGTAATGTACTAATTCTAATATATTTAAATCATCTTAACATTGCTGGTAGGTTATCATTGCACAAATTAACACAAT